TTCCCGTCCCTCCCCTCCCCTCTCTCTTCCAATATTTCCTTCGGTCTCCCCCCCCTCTCCCTCCTTTCCTCCTTCCCCTCGATCCTCTGCCTTCCTCCTCCCCTCCCACGTTCCCTCCCCTGCTTTCCATCCCTTTCCTTCCTTCCTTCTTTCTCCCTTCCCCCTCCCCATCCCTTCTCTTTCCCTTCCACCTTCCCCCTCCCCATTCCATTCCTCCTTCTCCTCCCCAGTTTCCTTTCCCCTCCCCCTCCTTCCCCTCTTTCCCCCTCCTTCCCTACCCCTCCCTTTTCCCTCCTTCCCCCCTCCCCGCCCCACCCCTTTAAGTGATGACTCATCATAAATTGTAGATTAAACATGCACGAAAACTTATGTTTATTTCTTTATTGCTTTGACTCCGCCCACGTCGTCGAGGCGAGAGGAGGGCCGGCGAACAGGGAGGCTTCAGCAAAAGTCCTTCTTCACTGTCCTCTCTCCTCCTCTTCTTCTTCTTCTTCTTCTTCTTCTTCTTCACTTTCGTTTTTCTTCCGCTTCACTTTCCCTTTCTTCTTCTGCTTCTTCTTCTTCATCTTCTTCTGCTTCTTCATCCTCATTCGGTATCCTCTTCCTCTTCCTTTTTTTTATTCCGTAAGTCTTCCTCCTCGTCTTCTCGTCCTCTCTTCCCTTTTCCCTCTTCTTTCTTTTCTTACCTCCCTCTTTCTATTCTTCTTCCCCTTCCCCCCTCCTTCTTCTTCTTCTTCTTCTTCTTCTTCTTCTTCTTCTTCTTCTTCTTCCCTCCTCCCCCTCCTCCTCTTCCTCCTTCTTCTTCTTCATCTTCTTCTTTTCCTCTTCCCCTTCCTCTTCCCGTTCAAAATACTTGATCTTTAGCAGTATATAATGATCATTATGATAAATGATAATATCGACGATTAAGGTGATAGTTATAACCAAACGATGGCTATAAAACGGATGATGATGATTAAGAGGATGAAGATGATGGTAGTAATGATGTTAGCCGATGACAACATGATATTAATGATAAAGATGGTATTGATGATTTTATGGTTGATGATAATGTAAAGCAGTTGGAAGGGTTTTGTTGTTATCATTATTATTATGGCGATGAAGGTAATGATAATGGAAGGGGTAATAATAACACCAGTGCATAATTATGAGAATGGTATAGTAGTGATAATGGCAATGC